ATTTCCAAACCAATACTTTCCTATGTCCTTTCTAAATCTAAACTTATCTAATTTAAATCCATTACTGCGGGTTCTCTCTTGGAGAGACATCCTCAAGACCTTATTAATATCCCCTTTATTAATACCTATCTTCCACTTATACACTTCGATCAGGTCTCCCTCATTCTTCGTCTAACAGTGAATGTAACTTAAGAGTCTTCAATCTTTCTTCATAAGGAAGATTTCTAATGCTATGTATTAATTTAGTCATCCTACGCTGAATATTTTCTAACGAATTTATGTCCATTTTGTAATACGGAGACCAGAAACTGAGCTGCATAATCTAGGTGAGGCCTTACTAATGATGTATAAAGCTGCAGTATGACCTCTGGACTTCTGTTGCTTACACTCTTGATATAAATCCCAGTAATCTATTTGCCTTTTTACGTACGCTTAGGCATTGCTGTCTTGGTTTAAGGTTGCTGCTCACCATAACCCCCAAGTCCTTTTCGCAATCTGTATGGCTAAGTTCTACATCATTTAACTTATAAGTACTAGGATTATGGCACTCCCAAGCTTCAGAACCTTGCATTATCTACATTGAACTGCATCTGCCACTTTTCTGACCAAGAATGGAGTTTGTTTAAATCCTCCTGAAGTTCCATAACATCTACGTTTGAATCAATTATCCTACCTATCTTTGTGTCATCGGCGAATTTGCTCATATCACTAGTAATTCCCTCATCAAGATCATTGATATATATTATAAACAACAACGGGCCCAAGACTGATCCCTGTGGAACGCCACTTGTTACAGATCCCCACTCGGACTTAACCCCATTTATGGATACTCTCTGCTTCTGTAAAGTGAGCCATGACTCGATCCACGAGAGCACTTTATCCCCAATGCCATGAGCTGCCACTTTCTTTAACAGTCTATGGTGCGGAACTCTATCAAAAGCCTTACTAAAATCTAAGTAAATAATATCAATTCTTTATTGTTGGTCAACAGCCTCAAAAGCTTTACTGATCACCAAAAAATCTAAGATCATGCATCTCAAAACTACTATGATCACTGAAAACACTTATTTTTTAAACATTCGCACAAAAATAAGACATACACAAAAATACCACAACACTTCCACAAACATCTATAACATAACATGAGCACTATAACATATCACTATCACAAAAAAAATAATACACAGACACCCACATCTTGTACATTTCAATCACAAATTTAAGACATGAGACATACACACCAAATCTAAGACATTCACCTCCAACTAAGACATACACATCTTAACTAAGACATACACCAAAAACCTTTACTTGACATATTGCGGTACGAATATTCATACCGCATTTATGTTGCATATCACATTTCTTCATCCACATCATCCCTAAAACATCCTTCCTTATTCATTCCGTATATCTCCTAGAGTTGTTTTAACCCCGACGGGCCCATCACGACGTAGGAGCCAGAGCAACCATCACCACTCCAACACCACCTACTACACTCTGGCTCCTACGTCATGATGGGCCGTCGGGGTTAAAACAACTCTAGGAGATATACGGAATGAATAAGGATGTTTTAGGGATGATGTACATGATGAAATGTGATATGCAACATAAATGCGGTATGAATATTCATACAGCAATATGTCAAGTATAGGTTTTTGGTGTATGTCTTAGTTAAGATGAGTATGTCTTAGTTGGAGGTGAATGTCTTAGATTTGGTGTGTATGTCTCATGTCTTAAATTTGTGATTGAAATGTATAAGATGTGGGTGTCTGTGTATTATTTTTTTTGTGATAGTGATATGTTATAGTGCTCATGTTATGTTATAGATGTTGGTGGAAGTGTTGTGGTATTTTTGTGTATGTCTTATTTTTGTGCGAATGTTTAAAAAATAAGTGTTTTCAGTGATCATAGAAGTTTTGAGATGCATGATCTTAGATTTTTGGTGATCTTGGTGATGAGTGTTGATAGATGACGGTAAACATGATATGGAATTGGTGATCGTGATTTTTGTGTGAATAATTATAAAATTGTCGGTTGTGGGGTGTTGGTGGTTGTGGGTGTTGTTGTCGAATTAGTGATGTCGAAAAAATGGTTATAAGTTGTGGGTTGTTGATGTGACTTTTTCTGATGAAATTAGTTAAAACGAGAAAAAAAATGTGGATTGTGGGTGTTGTGGGTGATGTGGGTTGTGGGTGTTGTTGTCGAACTAGAGATACCGAAAAAAAGTGGTTATAAGTTGGGGTAGTTGTTGTGGGGGTGTGGGTGATGTGGGATGTGGGTGTTGTGGGATGTGGGTGTTGTGGGTTGTGGGTGTTGTTGTCGAACTAGAGATGCTGAAAAGTGGTTATAAGTTGTGGGTTGTTGATGTGACTTTTTCTGATGAAATTAGTTAAAACGAGAAAAAATTGTGGGATGTGGGTGTTGTGGGATGTGGGGTGGGTTGTGGGTGTTTGTTGTCGAACTACAGATACCGAAAAGACGTTATAAGTGTGTTGTTGTTGTGACTTTTTCTGATGAAATTAGTTAAAACGTGAAAAAAAATTGTGGGTTGTGGGATGTGGGTGTTGTGGGATGTGGGTGTTGTGGATTGTGGGCGTTGTTGTCGAACTAGAGATACCGAAAAAGTGGTTATAAGTTGTGGGTTGTTGTGCCTTTTTCTGATGAAATTAGTTAAAACGAGAAAAAATTGTGGGGTGTGGGTGTTGTGGGATGGGGTGTTTTTGGGTTTGGGTTTTTTTGGGTTTGTGGGTGTTGTTGTCGAACAAGATGCTGAAAAATTTATTGTAAGTTTTTTTGTTGGACTTTTTTTGATGAAATTATTAAAAAAGAGAAAAAAAAAATTTTGGGGTTTTGGGGGGTTTGGGGGTGTGGGGGATGTTTGGGGGGGGGGTGATGTGGAAAGTGGGGGATGTGGGTGTTGTTGTTGTCGAACTAAGATACCGAAAAAGTGGTTAAAAAGTTGTGGGGTTTTTTGTGCCCTTTTTTTTTGATGAAATTAAATTAAAACGAGAAAAAAAATTTTGGGGTTTTGGGGGTGGGGTTTTGGGGTTTGGGTGTTGTTGTTTCCCAAATAGAGATACCGAAAAAGATGTTTTAATGGGGTTGTTGTGACTTTTTCTGAAGAAATTATTTTAAAAAGAGAAACAATTGTGGGGGGGGGTGTTTTGGGTTGTGGGGTGATTTTTTTTTGTCGAACGAGTTTCCGAAAAAGTGGTTATAATTTTTGGGGGTTTTTGTTGTGGAAATTTTTTTGATGAAATTTTTGTTTAAAAAAGGGAAAAAAATTTTGGGGGGTGGGGGATGTGGGGGTTTTGGGGGGAATGTGGGATGTGGGGTTTTGGTTGTGGGTGTTGATCTTAGTTTTATGGTGATAATTTTTGGGGTTTTTGAGTGTATTCATGGGTTTTAAATATATTCATATTGGGTCCGAGGGGGAAACACAAGAAAATTTGAAACCCCCCTAGGGGGAAACCAAAAACTTGTGGGGTCCAAGGAGAATTTTGGGGGCTTTTATTTCGAGAAAAATTTTATCCGAAAGGGAAATTGGACTTTGTATTACGAGAAAACCTTGATGTCAAGGAAGTAAAAATCTTTGTATTATCAAGAAAAAAAAAAAAATTGGGATGCAAGTGGGGGTTCATTTGAAAAAGCTTTAAAAAAGAGGGGGAATCCCAAAAAAATTGAATTTCCCAGGAGATGGGGGAGAAATACTTGGACATAGAGGGTAGAAGTGGATGGTGGGGGAAATCTTTGTATTATTGATATCGAGAAAACTTGATCCGAGGAATTCGAGTCTTTGTATTATCGAGAAAAAAAAATTCGAAAAAATTTTGGGGTGGGGGGAAAGTGGGTGAGGGGGGGAACCTCAAAAATTTGATTCGAGGAGAGCACAAGAAAATTAAAAAAATTTCGAAAAAAATCGGAAAAAATTCGGGGCGCGGGGGCGATCCGGACGACGCTGCAGAAGGCGCAGCAGAAGGTGCGGGCGGGCGCGACGGGCGAGGGCGGGCGGCTGGGTCGGCGCGAGGGGCGGGGGGCGCGGGGGTGGGTGGCGGGGGGGGCACGGGGGGCGCAGGGGGGGGCGCGGGGCGCGGGCGTGGGGGCGTGGGTGGGGCGTGGGTGGGGGCGTGGGGGGGGTCGTGGGGTGGGGTCATGGGTGGGGGTCGTGGGGGGGGTTAAGGTCATTAGCATATAGGTGTGAAAAAAGGTCATTAGCATATAGGTGTGAAAGGGAGACCCCTCAGGAAAGGAGAACCCTCAGAAAAAGAAAGCCACTCAGCCGCAGACGGTCTCAGGAAAAGGAAGCCACTCTGCCGCAGAGACCGCTGAGCCGCAGAGACCGCTGAGCCGCCTTCATCACTACTTATATGTCGTGCCGAATAGGCAGAACTTGCGATCTTGGCTTAAATAGCAATGCTCATCTTGCCATATAGGACAAGTGAAAATTTGTGTATGCAATAATTTCGCCAAAATCACTCTGAACTTACCGAAAAAAAATATATTTCACTGTGTTTGTTTAGTATTAAATTATTGTAAACAAATCTAAAATATATTTAGTTGGATTAGGCTAAAATAAATTGCGCTTGTTATAATAAGGTTAGATAAGTTTTCTAAGTTCCTTTTGGTGCAAAATTATAAATTTTTACATCAACATTAATGAAAAAAATATAAGAGAAAATTTTAGAAAGGATTTAATTTTAAATGAGTTCTTGCTAATTGACCAGTTTTACATATTCGGCACGACATATATATATATAAATATATATATATATATATATATATATATAAAATATATAAAATATATTTATACACCGAAACACTGAGAGGTGTATATATCTCAGTGTATACAGTATATGTTGAGTTTGCTTTAATCCCCAATTAAGGGATTAAAGAATACTTGTCTGATGGCGAACATGTGATATGCAGCCTTAATAACCCTCATATAGTCACTAGTGTTATTTAAACCCGGTTAACCAACCAAGCATCCCAGCACTTACCACAGCCTTCCTGAGAAGTAGAGTTGGAGCCACAACCAGGCGAGGAACACACACAACAACATGCCAGGCACGTTGAATAACATCCACGAGAGGAAGTTGATACCAGTGGGCTCACTGTAGGTACTGTGAGAGGAACTCAATTATTATACACGATGGGACAAGAGTTTATATCTCTGTACGATTTAGTAAAACATCAACGAGATACTAATAATTTTGAAAGACATCAATTATTCAACAATTATCGTTCATATTTGGTATTATTTTAACGAGTTCATCTGATACGCAACATATATTAGTGAAACTGATTGTCGAAACAGCTTAAAGTGACAAGTTTTATTATCAACTTTTAAAAAATATGACAGAAGAGAACTCTCAGTAATTTTCGTAATGGCTGGAAAGATTAAAATAAACACATTTAATCACTGTAACGTAAATAACTTGGGTCTTGGACAGAACATACTTTAAAGCTGTATGTACAAGCAATATTATTGCAGGGGCTTGATGTTTTGAGGGGCTCATGATTCAGGGAATTTTAGTTTTCTCCCGTCCTCGGGTCAAGTGTAAGACCCTTTGTATTCTGCAGTGGTCATGACCCCCTTTTAGCAGCAGAAAAACAATTATAGTCGTCCAAAGATTATTACTAACAAAAAAAAAAATAACTCAAGTTCGTGTCAAATTACTGCAGACTGGTAGTGTATATTTTTTTCACTTACCAATTCATTCAACACGGAAGTAATATAGAAGCTGTAGCGCCCCCCCCCCCTGCTTTGAGGCCAATTCTGTCAGCAATGGCTGTACGAGAACGTAACGGATATAACAATGTAACTCCATTCAAAATTTTTTTAGATATCTGAGTGACTCTCCCAACCTTCTGAGTGACCGACTTCTCTTAGGCTTCCTTTCCGCCATAGCAAAAGGCCACCACCCAAACAGCAGTGACTACACCCAGGGATCTTCTCCTGGATACAGACATTCGCCATGACAGCAGAATTATTGTTAACACGCTTCTGGCTCAGGTTCTGTGGAGGTCTAGTGTATGCACAAAAATATAGAAATATACAAAAAGTTATATATGAGAATTATGTAGAAGCCATTCACCAAAACTTTCAAAAGAAGTCATTGTAATATGAATGAAATTAGTCCTTTCAGAAATGACATAATAGTTCAGATTCCTTAAACTGTACTTATCTTAGAGCAGTAAGATGATAATGTATATTAAGTCGTCGAACTAAAATCTGCAGTACATACCACAGTGTTTCCTGAAACACCAGAAGTCAAGTTTGGCTGGCAGGGAAAACAAAACAGACACACACTATTAACATGTGGTGTTGCATCATTCCACATCCCTGCAATTAATACTCCTTAATCATATAATACAGTACATTGTGTTAACACTCGCAAGAATAAGCATATTACCCTCAGCCACTCACCAATTCAAACACAGTACTGCGAGTTCCAATTCTCACCACAGATGAATTAATGTTCGCATTTCGTCCATTTCTGCGAAGTTTTGCTATACAGAATGTGTGTATGCTTAGATAATTAGTTACTGTTTTGTCCAAGGCACATGTTCGATTAGATCACTAGGCCTGGTTTGTGTGTGTGTGGTGTGTGTGGTGTGTGTATACTCACCTTAATTGTGGGTTGCAGGGGGTCGAGACTTCAGCTCCTTAGCCCGCTCTTCAATGATCGCTACTAGGTCTCTCTCTCTGCTTCCTGTGCTTGTCTACCTCGTCTTAAAGCTATGTAGGGTTCCTGCCTCCACTACATCACTGCTAGGGCTATCCGCTTCCTGACGACTCTGTGACTGATGAGTGCTACCTAAAATCCCTGTGACTCGTCTGAGTCTTAGCTTCCAATTTGTAACCCCTTTGTTTCTGTGTTCCCTTTTGGAAACATCCTGTCTCTGTCCACCTTGGATATTCCAGCAGTATTTTGTATGTTGTATCATGTCTCCCCACGACCCTCCTGTCCTCCAGTGTCGTCAGTCCGATTTCCTCAACTTTCCTTCGTAGGACTTCCCCTGAGCTCCGGACTAGCTTTGTTGCAACAACATAGGTACTTTCTCTAATTCTTGACGTGCTTGAACAGGTTGTGGGTTTCAAAACTGAAGCTGCATAACTCAGTATGGGCATGACGTACACAGTGTACAGTGTCTTGAACGATTCATTACTATGGTCATCGGAAACGCTATTTTAGGGTTTGCCAGGCGCCCCACGATGCTGCTGCAGTTATCTGGTTATTGTGCTGCTTCCCGGAGACGTGCTCGGTGTTACTGGTCACCCAAGGTTCTTTCTCCTTGAGTTGAGGTTTGCAGCCTTTGTCCACTAGCAATATACTCTGTCTGCAGTCTTCTTTGCCCATTCCCCAATCTTCTGACTTTGCATTTGGCAAGGTGAAATCGAGAAACCAGGTGCTGGACCACGTATCCGCCTATTCAGGTCTCTTTGTAGTATGCCGGATCCTCATCAGATTTATTCCTTCTCATTAGCTTCACATCCATCTGGCGAACAGGGACATTTCAGAGTCTATCCCTTCCGATAGTTATTCACATATGTATATAAAAAATAGCACTGGTCCTAGGACTGACCCCTGTGGGACCCCACTCGTCACGGAAAGCCACTGTGATACCTCATCACGTGTGTATGTGGTTTGTTTGTGTTTGTGTGTGTGTGTGTGTGTGTGTGTGTGTGTGTGTGTGTGTGTGGGTGTGTGTGTGTGGTGTGTGTGTGTGTGTGTGTGTGGGTGTGTGTCTGTACTTCTTCACTTCCTTAGTGCACTTGGTTTTGCCTCTCGTACACCTTTGGGTGAGCCAAGGGCTCGTCCTGACCTCATTATTTCGGTTGCCGTGGGCATAAACCTCTCCTCGCTTTCTTTGCTATTTTTGCCACTATTTCCATAATCTCATTTATGATTTTCCTGCAATTCTCTTTCATACTGCATTCATGTAAAAAGTGCCTCATGCTTTATAGTCACCTCTTTTGTAGTCGGCTTCTTTAGTCCAAGCCCTTCCTGCTGTCCTCTCCAAATGGGTAAACGCTACTATGTATTTCGTAAAGCTCAGGACCACGTGATCACTAGCTCAGTAAGGCCTTTCATATGTGATGTCTCAATATTCTGAACTACTCAATGTAATACTAGGTCTAGTCTTGCTGGATCGTTCCCTCTCCTCACTCTCTGTAGTGTCGTTAATGGATTGAGAATGAGGGTTTTCTAGTAATACTCCATTATTTTAGCCCTTCACGTTATGGGGCCCCGTGTGGCTCCAGGCTTTTTCCAATCAGTTTTCTTTGAAGTCGCCACACAAACCTGCCACTTGCCCAAACTGGGCCCTTCTGGCCACTACAGCCAGTGATGTCACCCATCTATCTGTTATTCTAATCATTTATTGTCTTGCCTCCTGCTTTTCAGTGGTGGGTTTTACATCACTCCAATTCCCACCTTGGGACCCAGTCAGAAGTGTTCCCTAATATGGCAGTCCCGTGCTGCGCGGAGAGCGCGTGTATGTGTGTGTGTGTACTCACCTAATTGTGGTTTGCAGGGGTCGATACTCAGTCCTGGCCCCGCCTCTTTCACTGACCGCTACTGGGTCTTCCCTCTCTGCTCCATGAGCTTTCTATCATACCCCGTTCTTAAAAATATTGTTATGGTTCCTGCTTGCCGACTATGTCACTTCCTAACAACTCTGTGGCTGAGGAAATATTTCCTAACATCTTGACTCATCTGAGTCTTCAGCTTCCAATTGTGACCCCTTGTTTTGTGTCCCTCTCTGGAACATCCTGTCTTGTCCATTGTGTCGTGTTCTGTGTGTGTGTGTGTGTGTGTGTGTTGTGTGTGTTTGGTGTGTGTGGGTTGTGTGTGTGTGTGTGTGTGTGTGAACATCTCAATATTTTGTCACTGATGTATATACATAGCGTGGTCAATTCAGTTAAGCGCCCCTGTTTGCTAGGCTAATAACCGGATAAAACAACCACACGAACACAACTTTGACGAAACCCCCCCCCCAAAACAGAATGTACAACACCGTATGCTCACTTAGCAAATTTTTAAAAATCCTGTAATACTTACTATAACAGTATTCAAAACAAAATATTATGAAACACAGAAGAGAGGACTGTTATTAACTTACACCAAATTGTCCTCAAACAACTTGGACCAACCAGGAATGAACTCAGGTGCTCGGAAGAGCACAAAAAACAAGTATAATGATAAGTGTCAACACACAATTTCTTGAAAGGTGATCCAGCTCCAGCTTTCTTGGTATTTGGACATTATCAGTTGCTTCACAGCTTTTCTCGCTCTGCAGATGGATTCCGAATCAGTTTTCTCTGGCCGCTGGAAAAAAAAATATTGTTTCGATTATGATTAAAGATAATTTAAGAATGTCAATCTGTGAACACGGAATTTGTGTCTCCTTAAGATTTAATATATCAGCGCTGTTAATTTTTTACTTTAAATGCTTAAGCTAGTCACTTATACATAGCTATTTAGGGCTAAGGTAGGTTTAGTTAGACTAGGTATAGGTTAGGTTAGGTTAGGTTAGGTTAGACTAGGTTAGGTTAGGTTAGGTTAGGTTAGGTGTAGGTTCGTTATGTTAGGTTAGGTTAGGCTAGGTTAGGTAGGGTTACGGTTAGGCTAGGTTAGGTTAGGTTAGGCTAGATTAGGTTAGGTTAGGTAGGTTTAGTTAGGTTTGGTGTGGCTAGGTAGGTTAGGCTAGGTTATAGGTTAGGTTAGTTAGGCTAGATTAGGTAGGTTAGGTAGGCTTGGTAGTTAGATTAGGTTACGTTAGGTTGATAGGCTAGGTTAGCCTAGGTTCGGTTAGGTTTAGGCTTAGGTAGGTTAGGTTTGGTATGGTTAGGTTGTTAGGCTAGGTTAGCTAGGTTAGGTATTAGGTTAGGCTAGAATTAGGTTAAGTTAGGCTAGTTAGTTAGGTTAGGTTAGGTTTTGTTAGGTTAGGTAGGTTAGGCTAGGTTAGGTACAGGTTAGGTTAGGATTAGGTTAGGTTATGTTGGTTAGGTTAGGTTAGGCTAGATTAGGTAGTTAGGTTAGGTTAGGTTATGTTTGGTTAGGGTTAGGTAGGTTAGATTAGGATTAGGTTAGGTTTAGGTTAGGTTAGGTTAGGCTAGATTGGTTAGGTTTGGGTTAGTTAGGTTTGGTTA